TAAAACATATGCGTTCTACTACGAACTTAAGACCAACTCACCCAATTAGCTTTTCCAGCGTACCCTAGAATTTATTCATTTATTCATTCCTTGAATGAGTTTTATGAGCATTTATTATATCACAGATACTATCAAGAATATCATTCTGAAAAAGAACATTTGCTTTTCAGCTTTGTCTTCTTTTCCATGATTATTCTTATTTTTTTCATTTTTTTTTTTTTGCACATTTTAGGTACATTTAATGATCATATTTATGACAGGGAATTTGTACCTGTGCATGATATATCTTGATTCTTCTTTTTTCCCCAATCCCCTCCCCCCGCTGCAACCCGTCTTTCCCTTACAAAAGCTTTGTTTCCATTTTTTCTTCTGTTCTTATTTTTGTCTTGCATACACTTAACTGACATGACTTTATAGAAGAGACAGAATTCAAAATGAGCAAAAACATAAGGGTGTGCCAGTGGAGGTAAGATTATCTTTCTGAGTGGAACAACTAGAAAGAAAGATAATTTGTTACTTAGTTATAGCAAGGATGATTTAAATACAACTTGCCACATCTTAGAGAACTAGAACTTGGAACCACCCTTTGACTATGGAAAAGTATAATTGTAGGGACACATAAAATAATGTCTTATTTGTGTTACCCGTTACAGATACCTGGACTTTTCCAGGGTATCCCAGAAAAGATAATTGAGTGAGTAGGTCTTGAGTAGGCAGCAGAGGTGGTGCTGAATGAAAGCGTGTGCCTCTGTGTGTGTGTTTGCACTTCAGTCCATGCTAGTTATGAAGATATGTCATTTAAATGTGTATGTATTATGCTTGACACGTTGTTTTTATTTTTATTGATACTCAAACTGTCAGGGGCTGGGGATTTAGCTCAGCGGCAAAAGCGCCTGCCTGGCAAGCGCAAGTTCGTGAGTTCAGTTCCCGGTACCGGAGAAAACCCAAAAAAAAAAAAAAATAAATAAATAAACTGTCCTTTGTTTGGCCACTAGGCTCTTCTGCCTGGCTCCTGGTTCTCTTTCCTTCACCCACGATAGTCTTTAACTAAATTAAAGAGAATTTAGAGAACTAAATTTTCTAAAGCAAGATACAGGAAGATACCACAGATAAGGATAACTCCAAAGTTTTTGCTTTCTGTCATGAGAGGATGTCCAAGCTCGTGTTTTACATTTCCTGGCCTCACTTGAAAGCAAGCATTTCTTCATGAATTTCTGAATTTTTCTAATGGGCCATGCTGTTTTGAAACTATACACAGAAGTTTAGAGATGCTCATTTTACTGGGGCTGAACCAGGGTTCAGTTTTTGCATGTGTGTGTGTGTGTGTGTGTGTGTGTGCATGCACACGTGTGCACACATGCATGCACATGCATGCTCTTGATACTGCTGTATTTTTGGAATAGCTTCCCAGAAATGGGATTATTGGGTCAAATGATTAGAAAAATTTTACTGAAGAATTTTATAAGATGACCTTCAAACATTTGGAAAAGGCAAATTTTAAAATCAACCACAGATGTGTTGGCCAGTAACAGACAACTAGATCAGTAGAATAGAGATTATAACCAAGGGAAGAATGGATAAATCAATAAATGATTTTGGGAAAATGATTTACCGGGTTGAACAAAAATAATGATAATCTCACCTCAAAGACGCACACGCAAATAACACACATACACAAAGCTATGCGATTGCTAGAGGATGGAGGAAGAGGGGAAATAGGAGGAACAGTTTCTTTTTGGAATAATGGGAGTCCTGAAATTGCATAGTGGTAGTGACTGCACATCATTCTGAATATACCAAAATCCACTGAATTGTACACCTTACAGTGGTTAAAGTGGTGTACTTTATGTTACACGAATCTTATCTCATTAAAGAATCTTTCAAAATGTGTTTAAAAATGAAAATGTTAGTGTAAAGTACACAAGAATGTTAGGGTTGGGTGGTGAAATTCTCTAAAGCAAGATACAGGAAGATACCAGGGATAAGGGTGATTCCAAGGTTTTTGCCTGAGCAATTGGGTGAATTGCTGCATGGGCTGCTCTTTATTGAGAAATATTTACTAAGTGTGCTATATTTGTCAAGCACTTCTCTAGACTGGAAACAGAGGGATTGAAAAAATAGATACAAATACCTGCCTTCAAGGACATCACATTTGGGGGAGCCAGATTTCTGTTTGAAGCTGTCCCTACTGTTGAAATGCTAAGTCTATCACCTCTGAATATCTGTGAGCTATGGTGCTAAGGGGTTAGATAAAGTGACCTCTTTCTTTTTCATTCCTGGCCTTCATCGCTAGCCCTTTCCTCTCCCTCTAACTATGTGGGGATGGCAGGGTTCCAAAAGATATACCCTACCACTTTCCGAGATACCACAGGCTCCACTGAGAACAGAAACTATGTAAGTAGAAGATGTAATATTTCACCATGTGCTGGTTAAGAATTTCTTAATTCTCTATTTTTATACCAAGTGTAACTTACACTTTGAGATGCCAGTGCACCTGATGACAGAAAGCTCCCGCTAGATGATTCCATAGAAACTGAAAACATGAGGTTTCTCAATTACTTCACTTTTGAAAACTGAGTCACATTCCTGAGCTTTTTCTCTTCCCTTCCTCCCTGTTGTTGAGCCTAAGCCATGGGGCTTATGCAAAGCTGCCTGGGGGTGGGAGGTGTTTATCTCTCAGCTCTGACACATCCTACACTTCCTTTCTGAGATGTACAGTTGTCTCATCAGTCCTGCTGTTCATAATTTGTCTTTAGCAAGTCTGTTGGTTAGTTTGATGCTGCCATCTCCTGGTGCTCCCAGGGTCTCTTCACCCAGACACAGTCAAAGGAGATAGGTACACCTGTCTGGCTTTTGGCTCATGTGGTCCATGGTGTCTTCCACTACCATCCATTATCATACCCGTGCAACACCGTAAGACTTTCAATCCTGCAGAGTCGTAATATTGCCTCCTTTCTCCCCCACTCCCCCTTATTTCTTTAGAAATATGGAAGACTCCTCAGGTCATCTTTTCTTTCCTAACATAGCTGAACTCTTGTTACACATCACTGTGATCTAGGGCACTTCTGTGGGACATCAGTTATCCTGAATATCCAGAAGGAAAGAGGGTCTATGGATCCCATCCCTAGAGGGATGCTACCAATCATTTCTTCATGTGACAGAGTCGGGATTGGTAGAAACACCAGGACCTCACAGGAACATTTAATGTCTCTTGGTCTCTCCCTCCCTCCTTGTCTCCTTAGAAGTTCATTTTTTATTGAGATGATAGAAAAACCTTACACTTACCAAGCATTCACAGCAAGTCTCTTGTCTTTCATCAAGAGGGCAACTTCGTCTATTTTAACAGCCAAGACCTTTGAGACTCTAGACACCACACCAGTGTGTACATTTGGAAGATGTCTCTGTTGATATCTCACACATTATTCTGTCACAAAAATCATCCTCTGTACCTTTCTCGGTGTGTTTCCCTCTGCACCATTTTCCTTACTCTCACTTGGTTTTGGAGAAAGACTGAATTGTTTGAATACCTCTTCTCAAACCATTGGCTTCCCAGATGTTTTCTGGAGTCGTTTTAATTTTCTTTAAATTCTGGTTTAACAGCTTTAGTTTTAGTTTATAAACATTAACAAAATTTAGCTAGGAATTATTGGACTATAATTGGTATCCATTAAGTAAGTATATATTGATTGGAGATTGCTTTCTACAGATGTAAGTCTTGTGTTTTGGTTTTTTTTTTTTTTTTTGGTTTTTCTCCGGTACCGGGAACCTAATTCACGACCTTGCACTTGCCAGGCAAGCGCTTTTGCCTCTGAGCTAAATCCCCAGCCCCCAGATGTAAATCTTATCTGAGAGAATCTGGATCATATAGTGAACCTACTGACCTAAAGTGCAAACATAGGTCAAATTGTTTAAAAATCACAATACTTTATTTTTATTTCAACAAAACATAGGATTTGTTGTTGCTATTCTTACTTGAAGTCTGGAGGACCTGTAGTGTTTCTTGGATTATTGCCTAATAAACATGAATTTGTTTTAAGAACCTGCTGGAAAATACACCCTGGAAATTTTTTATCCTTCCTACCCAATTCTCATGCAAAGCCACATCAGCAAATAAAATTACAGTGCCAGATTCACCACTGGAGTTCTCGTGGTTTTGTGGTTTGATGTCGCAAGGCATTAATAGTAGAATAGAGAATCCCTATTTAAAAGGTCCCATTATTTTCTTCCATTTACAAGAAAATGATAGCATATGACATTGTAAAACAGAGTTCGCTTATCCTAAAATAATAAAGTGTTGGATTTAGGGAATTAATGTTTTCTCACGAAGAAAGAACATAGCCAAAACCAGCTGATTTTATGCTAATACTGGGTGGTCCAAAAGACATGAAGTATTGAAGCAATTCCATGTTTTTGAAGGAGCAGTGGAAAAACAAATATAGGAAGCAAGTCAGCCATTATTAACTCTGGAAAAGACACATTTGGTTAAATTTCATTCTTATAAGTCTAAAAGTTGGATTTTTAGTGAGATAGATGATAGATAGAATAGATGGATAGATAAATAGATTAGATAGATACAAGATAGAGAGATAGATAGACAGACAGACAGACAGATAGATAGGACTGGAAATAGATACATAGGATTCATGTTTGGTTCTCGAAAGAGCCTGGCAATAAAAGATAGCTTAAAATAAATAATATTAATTTCAAAATTAATTGCACAAACACTTGGGCCCTTTGTTTGTAACCTCCATAGTGACAGTGATTCTGATGATGCAGATGACACCTTTTAAATACTTTGAGGATTATTATGTCCCTGTGAGACACCCATCATAGATTTTTTAGTCTGCGTCCATTTCTGTTTTATTCTCCCTGATAGGCATTTCCATTCCCAGTCGCTGTGAAGTGCTAATGGTCTTCCCAAGCACTGCCTTACATAGGAACGAAGCACAGAGCGGGCAACACAATATACACTCAGAATAACTTGTCCTATTTCTTTACAGCAAATCCTTCGCCATGCTAGAGAAAACTCAACAAAAGTTATCTTTCTCATTACTGACGGATATTCCAATGGAGGAGATCCCAGGCCCATTGCAGCATCGTTGCGAGACTTGGGGGTGGAGATCTTCACTTTTGGCATATGGCAAGGAAACATTCGAGAACTGAATGACATGGCTTCCTCCCCAAAGGAGGAACATTGCTACCTGCTCCACAGTTTTGAAGAATTTGAGGCTTTAGCTCGCCGAGCATTACATGAAGGTAATGGAATCTAATAACACAGTGAAAGAACCGTTCCTCCCCTCTCACTTGCCTGAAAACCCCTGAAGAGTGGTATTAAATCCTCACTAGATTTTTGCTGTGCATAATGGCTGCATGTGCTCTGTGCATCATGAGATATGCTGAACTTCATGGAGATAACATTTTGACCTTGAAACAAGGGAATTTGTTTTGCTTTATTTCTTAACAGCTGTGATAGATTTTGAGTAGAATATACATACGCTCACATCTAGAACCGCTAGAATCAATGGAATGAATTAAGGTGTGTTTTGAGGCCACACAGAGTGGGAAGACTTGACTTAGACCTCATTTACAGTTATTGGACAGATGAAGTAAATATTTAGAGGCATGCGTGGTGAATCTCAGCAGCACGCTTCCAGAAATACGCATGAAGATAGAGGGACAATAAATAGCACATGTGTCTTGCCCTGACAATTTTAGGATAAATATGCTTTTGTATAAGCTTAAGAACATCAATACTAAAATGCAAGAAAATCAGCAAGTGGATTCATTAGAATTCTTTGTGCAGCATTTATAAGGATATTTAGTTGTAGACTTTAAATTAGATGAACTTTCCTATCACAGTATGGCTATGGGTCTTGATGAGCCAGGAGAAGAGAATGCAGACTGTAATGAGATGACAGAAGTTCTAGGGTTGTGGTAAATCAGGCTTGGTGCATTCAGGTTTCCATGCGAAAGATTCAGTTCGTGGGGAACAAGATGGCAAATAATTAGTTCTTTAGGTTGTTTTGTTTTGTTTTGCTGAGAGAGGGTCTTGCTATATACTTCAGGCTGGCCTTGAACTTACTATGTTGCCTAGGCTGGCTTTGAATTCATAATGATCTTGCCTCAGTTTCCCAGGCATGCACCACCACAACCAGCTAATTAGTAATGTTCATAATATGCAGTTTAGCTCTACAGTAGTTTCAAGAGAAGAGTTAATAGTGGATTATCATGCTATAACTATGGATATAGCAGAAAGGATTTAGCAGCTCTCTAGGAGAGGATGCTGGCAAAAGTTACTGGAGTTAGGGGTTCTGAGTGGGGGAACTTAGGGTTTAGGTTATTGTCATACAATGGAGTTTTAGAAGGTTCCACATTTATTACACTTAACTAATATATAGAATACATTTCCAGGGTTGGTAAGAAGAAACTGTTTTAATTGGACAGATATGATCAGATCAAAGGAAATGAGCCTCATCCCCCTGTCTCTGACCTACTTTTATTTTTCATGAATCCACTGTTTGGTCTCAGGACTGTGTTTCTGGCCATTCTTAATAGACATAGGTTGCAGAATGGTAGCTTTCCCCATATGTAATTTATCCACTTTGCTCCCATCCAGACTTGAATGCTAGAGCCCCAGTCTTGACACGCAGGCTTTCCTAATCCCTAAATTACTCTATTGCCAAATACACTTGTGGTTCTTTGTCGCAGAGCTAAGTTCTAAGGAACCAGTTGCAGATCTTTGACCCACACTACAGTCTATTGGGTGAAGTTTCAGTAGGGTGCCTGATCATGCTAGTGTCTTTCTCTTGGAGCTATTGCCTTCCCTTTAACCCTGTTATTCAGTCCTAAGGCAGAGGGGCAGATGTTCCATAATTGAGGCCATCAGCTTCTGTCCCAGGTATGTGATTGCCCATGTCTCGCTGGCACTCACCTACCTGAATTCCTACCGTGGGCCCATCCCTACATCTGGACCTAGCACCTACTTTGGCTTAAATAATCAGAATGGTCTCTATTTCTGTAACCTGTGTTAATATACTTAGAAGAGACAGATCAGATCCTCTTTTATTATTTAACTTATGCAGTGCTGTGGTTTATATTTTTAATCAAATAACTACAGAAGTCATTGTACTTATCCTAAAGTCAGTAGCTCACAGTCAACAGCCATAAGCAGAGGTTGGGCTTGTGGCTTTATTTCTAACTGAAACAAGGATTTTGGAAACGTGGTTACTGCTGCCTGATCTCATATGGAGTCAGTGGAACATTTTAGTTTGGAAGCAGGGGAATGACCTGAAGAACCGACTGTGTTACTTCCTGCTGCATCTGGAGATTCCTCCCTAAAGTACTTAATTTCTCCCTGGCCCTGCATGACCTTGGGATGAGGTCCCAAACTGAAATAACTTAACCGGCTGAAACAAATTCCCAGAGTATGGTACTGCGAATAACACACTTTCATATTTGGGTGGGAGTAGGGAGCAGAGGGAAATCAGACAGATGAGAGAAGATACTTGCTTCAGCTTAGGCTTACATTTAAAAGACTAAAGAACATAACCTTCGACTGTTAATCATTTTATTAATTACCCCCTGCCCTGCATTATTGATAGATCTACCTTCCGGGAGTTTTATTCAAGAGGATATGTCGCACTGCTCATATCTCTGTGAAGCTGGCAAAGACTGCTGTGACCGAATGGCAAGCTGTAAATGTGGGACGCACACAGGTCAATTCGAATGCATCTGTGAGAAGGGCTATTATGGGAAAGGTCTACAACACGAATGCACAGGTGAGTCTCCAGTTGGTGGGTAACTATGCCAGCTATCTTTTACTGTGCAACAAATGATCCCCAAACAGAATGCCTTAAAATAATATGTGTTTATTACTGCTCATGGATCTGGTCAGCTGGGCTGCTCTGTGGTCTCAGCTGTCATGGATCATGCATTTGCCATCAGCTGTGGGTTGAGTAGGCTGCTCTACAGATCTCATCTATGTTCTCTTTGGTGTTTTGGAATCAGTTGTTTTGGTTTGTTGGTTTTTTTCCAGTACCGGGAATCGAACTCACAACCTTGTTCTTGCCAGCAGGCGCCGTGCCGCTGAGCTAAATCCCCAGCCCCTGGAATCAGTTGATAATAGGCTGCAATAAAATGGCTTTAAGACAATGAGGCTGTCCTGTATATGGCCTCTAATTCCAGCAGGCTACCTTGTGTCTTTTATTGTAATTAATCTAACTAGCAAAACCTGTCCTCTAGCTACCTTAGCCGAAATATGCCTCCATCTCTCCATGGGATTGCAGCTAGTGGGGTCCCAGTCCCTTACTCACATAAACCATCTTTGGTTGCCCCCACCCCGAAAGCAACGTTCACTTCAGTGTTCACCTTTTAGCTCGTCACAAGCTTCCACAAAGGGGCGTCAGAAAGTGTCATCACTTCAAAATAGAATTTAATTCATCAGCGTTTGCAATTTTACCTTCTCTAACTGTTCTTTCAAGAAGACCTTTCGGTTTTATTAGAGAGGCATTCTTAGGATTCTTGTGTTCTATGTTGTACTTTAGGAAATATCTAATATTTAGAAGTCGTATGCGGTATCGGACAGCATTTTGTTTATTCTGTTTTTACCTTAAAAATCAAATTTAAAAAAGAAAGAGCTTATGACATTTCCATGATTTGCTGTTTTGGAAAACTGTCTTCCCATGGAAATTAACGCCCATGAGCAAAACGGGGGCGTTAGATTTGCTTTATTCTGCACCGTGCAGTTGCTCGTTGCTTGCTTCATGCGAACACAGCTTTATTCTGCCACTTGGTGGGTCAGCCTGCGCTGCTGGTTCTCTCCTCTTTGCTTTCGTTTCTCCTCCTCATGGAGCATGTCTTCTTGTGCCATTCTTTTACTCTCTTTTATTTTTCTTTTCCCTCAGCTCATTTCCCTTCATTTCTCCTCCCTCCCCTGGCACTGATCCCAGTTGGCAGACCCATCCTTGCCAGGTTCGGCATTCGTGTTCACCCAGCAGAGTCGCTCCTCTCTTGGCTGGGCTCTGACCCTCATCCAGCAGGATTTCTCACTTAAGCAGAACAGGAGCGGGGAGGGGAATCAACCCAGCTGCCTCGGAGTTGGCACAACGCCTCCTCTTGTTTTTCCCTCCCCTTGAATCTTCCCACACTCTCATCAACAGCCCAGCTTGGCTCTCTCTCCAACACTCCCTCACTCTCTCCTCCCATCCTAGCCCACCAAACACAGGCAGAAAATCTCATTTTCAGTGCTCCGTGCTGCAGTCAGCATGTCTGCCTTCCATGTGGTCTTGACCAGTCCGGTCCCTGCCAACAAGCTACCATCATCACTGTACAGCTGCCGGGTAGCCTCAGACACTTAGCTGCAACTCCATTGCTCCAAGGCACTGGAGTCTTGCATCCCAGGGGTATGCTAGAGGAACGGAGAAAATGGCAGTTTACAAACTCATTACCCAAGCAGCCTTGGCTGCCACCACTGTTACATTCCAAACTGAGAGGTATAGCGTCCATGAAATTTAGGCAGTTGAGTGGTCTTGTCATTAAAGTGTCAGTAAAGGGGATTGGAGGCCTTTGCTATTAGTTCTAGCCAAGAACACCATGCGTGAGAGGATTAGCTTACCCATGCCTTCTCTTAAGTGAATAAGCCTCAGTTTAATACTTTCTGCCACACAAATTTAAATCAGAATTGCATTGATGTAAATATTCATATTATCATCTTCTGTATTTATTTCTAAGGAATTAGGAAAAATTACATGGTGTTCCAAGATGCCCACTGTGTGTTTGTGTAGTTGCAGAAGGCAAAGTTTATCACTGGCTTCTCTGGCATGCTAGAAGCTACGAGAAAAGAAATAAATCATGTCCTTCTTATGGCATGAAACACTCATTATCAGATGTTTCTTTCCAAAAGACAAAGAGAAATAGTAGCTCTAAACCACCTAGTTCTGCAAATCTGGACTCAGGGAGTCCCTTTTAGAATTCATTTAGTCAACACATGTTACTGAGAACCTTCTTCATGCTGAAGTCTGTGCAAGGTCCGAAGTAGGGATTTGGTCGTGAACGCAAAGATGCAGTCACGTTCTTCTTGAAACGGACCATCTAACCATACAAACAACTTTGTAATTGCAAGCTGTGTTATGTGCTATGAAATAAAACTGCCAGTGGTATAAAAAGCAGACTCCAGGGAAGGCTAAAGTAATCTCTTAGCCCGGAGCTGCAGGATGCCTGGGCCATAGCTACTTTATTACTCACAGAGAAGATGTCAGCCTTTACTCTGAGTAGTTGGAATGCTGAGTATTTATCCTCATAGTCGAAACGAGGAAATCATTCCTTTTTCAAGCCAGAAGAACTTTAAAGATTATCTGTTTTAAACCCCTCTTTCTGCAAGAGGAAATTAAGGTCTCAGGAGAGATGGCGTTGTGCTCAAATTGATATACCCAGCTATCAGCAGAAACCAGGGAGGGACCCTCGACACTTTTTCCTGAGTCCCATGTTATTTCCAAAAGATCACTTGGCTTATTTTTTCTATATTTGAAAATAACTTTCTGAATACATTGCTTGCCAGATATCCTGGACATAGAACTGTGCTCAAAATATTTAAAAATATAAAAAGATCTGGCTCAAATTCAGCTCCTGCCAATTATAAACCAAGAGGCTTTGGGCAACTTCATTTCTTCTGATTCTCACTTTCTTCTGTAAAATGAACTTACTAATGGCATAGTTTTATATAGATACATACATGGACACATACATAGATCTTTATGTATATTTATGTATATGGCTTTATATATATATATGCATATATGTATATGCTTTGCATCAGTGTATATATAAATGGTTGCATTATTTAAAAATATAGAAAAGTGTTGCTTTCTAGCTGTATTATTGGTACTTCTTTCCCTATTCTTTAACTATAGAAATTGGACAGTTGCAGTGATTATGATAATAAGGTTATTGATAATGATGACAGCAATAAGAATAACTGACAAGCATGTATAATAGCATTTCTATATTTGATATAGAGCAATAATAGTTATCACAGGCCAGAAACTGCTTTAATATTTTTACTAACTCCCTGGAGTACTGTTCCTTTGTAGATGTAAGGAAACTGAAAGTTTAGAAGTGTAGATAACGGAGGAACGCATATGACCGAAATATATTTTAAGGATTGAAACACAAAAGAAGAAAATGTGAAATCCCGGGGGAGAATGAGGAAAATTGGGGGTGGGGGTGTGTGAAATTGATCAAAGTATGCTACATAAATGAACAAAACTACAAAAATGAAACCTATCCACCTATATACCCTAAAAATAAATCACTGGTCCACAGCCATGCAGCTAGTCAAGCAGGGATAGAAACCCAGGTTGTCTGGCTCCAGGACTCGCAGGCTAGCCAAAGATAGACATTTAGTAAATCTACACTTACTCTTAAAAATACAATTTCTAATTGTAAGCATTAGTTTGTCCCTAATAAGATCATCAATATTTGATCATTTTCAGCCTATAGAACAGCAGCTTCATATGATTTAGCCTAGTACTTGGAAGGAAAAGAACAGAATAAATTACATGAAAGACAAATCTGATTATGTCACACTCCCGCTTAACCTTTCCCAATTATGGCCCATTCATAGAATAAACTCAGGCTTCTTACCACGACATAAAGGTCTTACGTTATTTCACCCCTCCTTTACCTTTGAGCTAAGAGCTAGAACTACTCACAGTTCCCTCTAAATATTAGGCTATGTTATTCCTCAGACCTTGCTTCATGCTTCTTCTGTCTTTTTCCTACTACATCCAACTTTTCCTGTGTGTTCTTCCTGTATCAGATTAGTGACTCTGAAAGGCAGTGACTTCCTAATCCATTTTTGAATCCCCACTGCCTGCCTTCAGAGCCCATGCTAAATGCTGAAGAGAAAGAACGTAGGTAAGAAGTCAACTTTAATACCAGAATTTTCAGTGGATGAGAACTCACTGTTACAATCTTAGGGAACTGTGTGGTGTCTGTGCCTGCTATGGGCACCACAGACTCCCTGGTACAAAAACACAGGGTAAGACAACTTCAAAAGTGCATTTGATTTATTTGAAAGCACAATATTTACATTTGGTTAACCTTGCCAACAATAAATTAAATACGACATCCCGTTGATTTATGAGAGTAGTCATTTTAATGGGTAGATCATTGAGTCAGTTGTGAATATCCAGGGAACTCATAAATCCAAGTAGTTGCAGCTGTTCTGGATTTTCTCTGAAGGGATTTGAGAGACACAGAGCTTAGAGACAACAGACATCTTGAGGACACTGCTCTTGTGCAAAGACTGAGTTCATTTCAGCAAGCTTGGAATGAGCAGGCTGAAAATTATCGCTGGATGGGGGCCAACCATAAGGCTTAGGTAACTTGAGCCAAAGCTCCAGTTGTATTATTTTTCATCAAAGGAGGATGCCCTGTAGAAATAGATACACTAAAATGTTTATGTGGGACTGTTGTCCTCTATGTGTACATAAATGCATATAAATCTCTACCCCTTCCCCCTCCACACATCTTCTTTTCTAAACATTGTACCATTTATTTAGAAAGAGAGAGGAACAATTGCTGTAGAAATTCTTGAATGGAAACCAAAATATTTGGAAATCTTGTCCTCCATCCACAGCTTAGCTGATGAGTCCTGCCCCCCTCCACTCCCAATGGTACCTAATAAAGTATTTGTAAGGTATAAGGAATTTGTGTGATGTATTCCTCTTTGCTGATGCTAGTTCCTGTTAACATAAAGAGGATTTCTAACTGCTTTTAT